CCCCCAGTATCTAACCCGGGTCATGGCCTTGGATTTAGTGGGATGTGACTGACCTCAGAGCTCAGGCTTTCTGTGGACCATCCCCACCCCAGGAAGAGCTGAGAACTATGCAGAGCCGAGCACGTCCCCCCTGGCCCACCTGAGTCCACAGACCCACAGAGAGGGAGGGCATTTTGTGCACCTGTCCCATGGCGGATTCCTATCGGTATGGCCAGCAGGGGGCGCTCACATTAGAAGCCTGGCACATTGTTGGAAGGGATGATGCTCACAAGATGGGAGGTTTTAAACCAATCTATGAGCAGCCTAGAAAGGAAACAGCGGGAAAGCTGTGTTCCCCTCCTCCTAACTCTTGCACGACTGCAAGCACCTGACATTTTATAGAAGACTTCAACATATCAAAACAAGATCACTGTTAATGGAAGTTTCTGTTCTTTGAGAGAGCTAAAAAGGGTCAGCTCCTTTATGACAAAGATGTTTGTTGAGATAACTGGGTACACGAGTCAGGCCACAGTGATCTGAACTTCTGCCTTACATTAATGACAAGTTGGTTAGTTCATGGATGTTTATATACAGAGAGGTGGATGATAAATCAGGATGTCAGGATGTGTTTCTCTCTCTCTCTCTATCTCTCTTTTTACTTTCATTTCTTGGAGAGAGGGTCTTGCTTTTGAAGCCCAGGCTGGCCTCTATCTCCCAACTGCTGAGATTACAGATATGCACCACCATGTGTGGCTCTGTGTTTTTACAGCCTTCTCAATCTCTCTCACAAGAGGGGAAATAGAAACACAGAACACTGACACCACAGTGTACTTCCTCTTGATGCCTGTAATTTAATGGAGGCTCCTGGCAGAGCTGAGCAGAACTGACTTTAAAGACTGTCCCAGGCAGTCTCGCATTGGTTTAGCTGTGAACTTTGTCACTCTGGCAAATGCAAACCTAGGCTGAGATTTTCTTTCCCTCTGATGTAATACTCCTGAGCTTAATTTATTTAAGAAATATTTGCAAAGTACCTACTATGTGCAGGGCCCCCTAGAGACACAAGGATGAAAACTGCCTGAGGCCAGAACTGAAGGTGCCTATGGTCTGTGTCACAACATGGCGGCCTCAGTCCCTCTCATTCTCCAAGTCCTTCTTTAAGCTGGGTACAATCCCCTCCCTTTAAACCTGGTAGGTTTGTGACTTGCTTGTAGATCACAGGATGAGACAGAACTGAGGCTGTAGAACTATAGAGACTGAGTTAGAGAAGGCAATGTGACTTCTGTCACACTCATGAGGCCACTTGAGCTGGGGCCCTGAGGCTACCAAGCACTGAGGGAGCCCACATCGCCAGAGTCAACAAACTTCTGAACCCCAACCCACAGGAACCAAAAGATATAAAGAATCGGTCAATGTCACTTTGGAAGCTAACATCTGTGTGATTTGTTATTCAGTAAGAGCTAATCAGAAGATAAAGATGTTGTTATAGGATTTACGGGAAAGAAGGGGATTCCTAGTTGGGGTGATTGTAGCAACTTCATGGCAGAGCGGCCAGTGAAGCTGGGCTTTGTGGAGTAGGAGTGGACGGGAGATGGAGAAAAGGGGGGAGGGGCACAGCCAAGGCGAGGTCTGGAGTGAAGAACCCACTGTCTAATGGATGGAGGTGTGGGAGAGCGTGCTGTCTCACACTTACATTTAACTGAAGAAGATGGAAGAGGCCTGCAGAGACCAGCCACACTCCCAGAGCTTGTCTGTGGGCTGCACGTGGTGGTGTCCGTCCTGCTGGACAGAGCAGACTGGGGCATCTCCACAGGACAGGGCTCCATGGACCTTCCTTCTACTTGGTCCCCGGAGCCTCAGCAGGCCTTTGAGACAGGCCACGTGCTCTGAGCTGGGTTTAGGACATCTATGCCAGAGCTCTGTGTGGCAAGAGGTTTGCCAGCAGGTCAGGAGGCTAAGGTAACAGGACAGGTAGGGACACACCTGTCACCTGCCCTAGTGAGCCAGAGTCAGTCGGTGAACAGGGATTCAGGACAGGCCAGTCAGGTGAAATGGACAGGCCCACTTACCAGGTGGCTGGTAATGTTCTTGTCACATTGTCAGAGAATTAAAATGGTTTTGTTATAGTACAGGGCTCGCTGAACCCCAGAAATACCTAAGTCAGCTTAGAGACTTAAGGTGAAATCTGAGGGGCAGAAGAGTGAGGGAGTGGAGTGTACGGGGAGAGGAGGTGAAGGAGGGGGCACCATTGGTGACCCCTCTACACACACACCCCAGGTTGGTGGTGGCTAATCAGTATGGTGAATGTTGCTCACAGGGAAGTGTCAATTAATGGCCCCTTTACAATGATGGAACCAATAAAAAATGAAACAGAATCAATCACACTAACTGATTACTCCTTTGTATCGGGCTGAAAGGAGGGTAATTAGAACAGTGCCCCAAAAACTCCACAGTAAGAAACAAGAAAGCATTAGGATTTCAAATTAAGGAAAACAAAGCCAAGTTTAAAATAACTGGAATGAATTCTCCAGAGTTTGAGCAGCAGGATCCAGATAAGGTTTCCTGCCTTTTCCTCTCCTAGTGTCCACCATGCTGCTGTCCTGAATTCATTCTACACCCTGATGGTTTATGCAGATGGGCCACCTGGCTCTGCCATGAGGTCTTCAGAAGACAATGCAGACCTTCCAGAGACTGAGTTTTGCAACAAGAACCTTTCCTCAAGCGGAACTGGAAAAATCCAACTTGACAACTTCAGAGAGACCTTGTAAAGAGTGGGTATCCTTATGTGTCCCCACGGTTCCTGCCAACCCAAGGCAGACACCCCACAGACAGCACAGCTGGGCTGTGTGACTTCCTGAGGAGAAGATGGGCATGACAGACAGCTCTCTGAGAGCTGGGTAGGGAAGTCTAAGCCTTGCTCTGGGTGTGTGTGTTTAAGCAATCCCCATAAAATGGTAATTCAGACCCAAAAACATCACCCCAAAAGGCTGGCTGGCTTTTGGAAGTGAGAAGACTCCACAACAAAACAGAAGTCCTCTCCTGGGGGGTGGAATGCCTCCTGCCTTGCACTCTCTGCACACATTTCTCCATTCCTCCATCCATGGGGACACTTGAGACTCTTCCCAACTACACTCGATGTGTCGTGCTTGTACCAACTCTTCCCATACCTGAGACACTGATTCCCTGCCTGAGAAGAGTCAAAATCAAGCTTCTGTGCCTACGCTCAAGTTTAAAATGCTCTGTGCTTTCCTTCCCACGAAGGTAAAAGTTTGAGAGCACATTGCTCACCTCAATGGAAAGTGTCTGCACGTCTCAGAAGTGACTTTCAGAGTTCTGAAAGGTCCTCAAAATTGTTTTCTCCTAAGAAAGCTTAAAGACAGCCAGGCATGGTGGTGCACAAGTGTAATCCCAGCCTTCAGGAGGCTGAGGCAGGAGGATGGAGAGTTGAGGCCAGCCAGGGTTACACAGCAAGACTGAGGTATCAAACAAACACACAACAAGAGCAAAGCTTGAAGACAAGACAATGTTTGTAGCTTTCTTTACTCTCTGGTGCTGTGAACTTACTTGTTTCTGTAAACAGATGCAAAAGAACCGCTTTGTTTATGTGTAAATGCCAACACCACTTTACTGCAACCGCAATAATCCCTCTCTTGGAAACGAGGAAATCTGCTGGGCGTGGAGGGGCTCCCGCCGTCCTGTGGCCTCCACACCAGCTCTGGGGGTGCTCTGCCTGGGTCCCCCTGAGTGTGAGCTGCCAGGAGCCGATCCGCTCAGGCGGGATGGGACCCCTTTGCGAGCTGGGAACACCAGCCGAGGAGCACACTCACTCGACACACGCAGTGCCTACTGTGTGCAGGATGGTCCCTGGCGCTCCGTGTGTGCCAACTTGCTTTCTCTTCACCTCGAGTCTGTGAAGCAGGTCCTGTTACATCACCCCCACTTTTAGAGAGGAGGAAGGAGTGGCCTGGAGCTGCCAGGCGAAGAGGTAGGTGGAGCTGAGGCCAGGACCCCAAGCTGTGCTCTAACCTCTGCGCCACCCCACATCCCCAAAAGGCTGCCTGCTGTATTCAAATAACCAGCTCACTGAGGGAAACATGGAGCCATGGGCTCCTGCCTTCATGTCCACCTCTGGGTCACAGAACGCACATGGCGACGGGCCAGAGGTATGCAGGACAAGCACGTTATAGAATCAGAACCCAGGTCTGACGTCATAGACCAGGTCTGGCTGGGACAGCAGGGAGAGGGGATCAGAAACGGAAGTCCTGACTCAGCGCACGGGAGCCCAGTGGCCTCTGCCTATGGAAGCCAGCCTGGATCTCGGTGTCTTCACCCCCACCTGGTCCAAAGTCCTCCCCCAACAAACCATGAGGAAGTTTTTAAAATTACTCAGCAAATCTTCGATCCTGTTTGTCACCTGCTCTTGGAAACAACGCCCAGGCTAGGGTGCAGCTTGGTGGAAGAGCACGTGCCGAGCACGTGTGAGACCTGGTTCCATCCCCCGTACCAAACAACGATGACAGCACCAAATAACGCCCCCATCCCATCACCACCTGCTTGAGGATATTTATGACCAGCCTACAGAGTCAAGAAAACAGTGAATAAATACATTCTGACGTCCAGTGGTGTTTCATTTGCCCAGAGCTAGGCTGGGTATGCATGTGACAACCTGCATGTTCCGAATGCTCACAGAGGGGCAGACAGGGACGAAACCTGCACCCAGGGGGACTCTTAGTGCACCAGATGACAGGGACAGGGCTTGTCCATCCCCTCTCCTAGTCACCTGCTGAGAGTTGGCAGCATAAAGGCTTTTCCCTCACCTGGTCTAGTATCAGACTTTTGAGTCACAATCAGTCACCTTGCTTCAGGGCCTGAAACCCAGGAGCTGAGTCAATAAACTGTGGAGTCACCAGGAGCCCAGATCTGCCCGCCCTCCCCGCAGAGGACAGAGTTCGAGGCCAGGCTTTGCAGCCGGGCAGGGGGTGACCTGGGGGACCTGGCGTGAGCAGGTTAGCATGGGCTCTTACTTGTAGTTTTTCTCCCAGAATTTCACAGGCCTGACGTAGGAGGTGATGAAAATGACACTCCCCAGGAATGGGCTCAGGGGCGAGGAGAACACCGAGGTGGCGAGGGTCTGGAAGAGCAGCATGGCGGAGTCTGAGGAGGTGGAGTTAAGGAAAAGACTTGTCTCCGCCGTGTTCCAAGTATCATTTCAGACTGTGACCTCTTTTCCTGAAAACTGTTTGCTCACCAAAGACAGACAAGCGGACAGGCACTTAATCTCAGTTCGCACAGATTTAGAAAAATCAGACTTTCAGTAGCACCCCGCCAGGACTCATCTCACTACCATTAAACCAGCAATTCTTAAAAAAATCCCAGTGGTCTTGGGCTGATGCGTGGCCAAGGTTCAGTTCCCGAGGACTGAAGGGATCAATTCCCGTTTGCTAAGATGTCATTTGCCTAGCAGAATGCACTGAAGTACTAGATGGCTTTATAAATCAGCGAAATGGAATGACATGTCTTCAAAGTAGTAACTGTGTTTGGAAGACAGCACCGGTGTTTCAAACAATCTTTTCCCATTCTTTGAAAAAAAAATGTGTGTGTGTGTGTGTGTGTGTGTGTGTGTATGGTGCGTGATGTGTATACATGTGTGCGTGTGTGTGCATGTGTGTTCATGTGTGTGTGTGCATATCATGCACTGAATGCCAGTGGCTCCACCAAGTCTGGTTTATCAGCCACAGCACATGCACACGCCACCTCAGTGCTTTATGGGCCACGTCCCCTCTTTGGCACTCTTTCGTGAGGTTCTTGTTTGCCGGGAGACGGTTTCACACACTCTGCTTGATCGGAAACAGACTTAAAATTGTTCAGCGTTGAACCTGGTGCAGCTGCAGCCCAGTGGGACCCTAGCCATGCAGGCAGGTGCCTGGAACACCCTTGTGGTGTGAGATGTGGTGACACCAGAGCTGGAAGACCAAGGCTTGGGCACAGCCAAGACCAACCTGCCTGGATCTTTCCTATGCATGTCCTTCCATGTCCCTTGGGTGAGTGTTGGTCACATACAGAAGACCCACTGTGACCTCCCACCAGGCTGACTGCCCTTCCGGAAGGTGATGGCAACAGTGTCTCTCTCACTATCGCACAAACCGGGTCTGGTTTCCTTAGCCAGGGTTCAGAAAGTTCTGGCAGAGAACAAAAAGAAAATGGTTGGTACAGATAGGAAGACTGCATCTCGTCGTCAAGCAGGACAGGGGAGTGACTCAGGCTTCTAGGAGCTCTGACATTGTCACTGGTGGATCAGGGACAGGGTGAGGCAGGGGTCCTGACAGTCCCATTTATATGGAAAACCTTGTATCGTCACAAAACCAAGATCAGAGTTTTTTCCCTCAATAGTAACTGTGTCAGCCAGTGTGGTGGCTTGCGCTTGTAATCCCAGCTTCTCGGGAGGTAGAGAACAGGTTTGAGGCCAGCTGGGGCAAAAAGGTATTGAGGCTCCATCTCAACCAACAAGCTGGGCTGGGTGTTGCACCTATGATCTCAGCTACTCAGGAACCACAGGTAGGAGAATGGAGGTCTGAGGCTGGCCCCAGGCAAAAATGGGAGAACTTATCAGAAAAATAAATAAAGCAAAAAACAGCTGGGTGGAGGCTCAAGCAGTAGAGCCTTCCTAGAAAGCGTGGGTCCTTGAGTTCAAATCCCAGTACGACCAACAAATAAATATATAAGGGAGTAGCAGTACCTCCTTTCTTCTCCGTGTATAACTTTCTATTTCCTCCCAGACGCCTTCAGAGTGAGCAAGGACACACTCCGCCAGTACAGATCTATCCCAGCGTTGTTACACTGTTTGGGTATCAAGGAGGTCTCCCTCATGCTGCCGTTAACACCCAGTTCTCTCTATTCTGACCCAGGTTCAAACGGAGAACTACTGAGCAGTGTGCTATGGAGAGCTGAAAATACCCGTGTTTTGTGCAGAACCATTTAGATGTTTTCAGCTTTCAGAGGAAGAGGAAACAGGTGATAATAGCACCTATCCCATTTGGTGTCCCTTGTCTCTGAAGAAAAGGGAATGACTTGAACGTGTCATGGAGTCAAGGTGCTGAGGGAATTGTGAGAAGGCAGAGTCACAGGGATGTTGACACTGGGAAGAGGGAAGGAAGGGAAGTCCCCCTTGGGTGGGTTAGGGGTGCCTGGAGCTTGTTGGGGGAACAGAACAAAGCCTGGTGCAGCCAGGGCTGGGCACGGGGCTGGAGGGGCTGCCACTGGTCTTCTTGTTCATTCTAAAAGTCCCACGAGAATTGTATTGCGCATTTTTTAAATGCCCCAAACAATTATCCACAACTCAAGAAGGCAGGAATCCGGTCACAGCCTGTATAAAGCTGAGTGGAGGGAAGGTCCGGGGTGGAGGAGGGGAGGAGGGAATAATGGCTTCTGGGGACATCTTACTGGAGACCATGGATGAAGACACATGGCAGGACTGGGCATCCAGGAAGGACAGTGGCTAGCACTGTCAAGGCAGCACTCAGAACAGGGATCCTAAGAGCAAGGGGCATGGGAAGCCCCCTTCAGTTCTCGCCAAGAAAAAGGGCCAAGAGTAAGCTTGGCCATCAACACCAATAATTAAAAGATTAAAAAATCATTAGTCTCCAAAGGTGTGAGGAGGAAAAGAACCTTGCAGACATGTGCGCTTAGCAGCGTTAATGTGATAGCTGTGTGGTTATTGAAGATGACGGCCTTGCCTTGCGTGGTCTCTACACGTCTTAGAAGGGTGAACATCCCCATCTTTCCCTGGAGGTTACAAGCTCAGAAGTCAGCAGAGGCACTGAGGGAGAAAACATGCCAGCACAGGAAAAAGCAATTTGCCCACCAGTGTCCCGCTGGCCTGAAAGCTAATCCAATTCCAAAATGCAGCAAATTAGTCCACTCTCAACACTGGGATGGAGTCCACAGCTTCTTAAAAGGGTGATAAAATAATTAACGTTTCAAAATCACCCGGGATCCAGGCTGACATTTAGGAACCCGATAGCTTAGCCTGGATGGTGTGTGCATCCCGTTCTCAATGCTTTATCTCATTAAGGTCTGAGCAGAATGATGTCGGGCTCTGGTGGCAAATGTCTACCTTCACACTGAGCAAGGGCAGGGAGGAGGAGGGGCGGCCTCCAGTCACATGCAGCAGCAGTGGGTTGGACAGCCCTGACTTAGCAGAAGACAGGAAGCAGATGTCTAGCAGGACAGTTTCAGGATCAAAGAAATGTTCCAAAATCAATCTACCAATAAATCTGCATCCTTAATGCTTTCCTCCCTCCCTCCCTTTCTTCTTTCCTTCCTTCCTTCCTTTTGGCGGTACTGGGATTTGAACTCGGGACATTCCACTTGCTAGGCAAGGGCTCTTCCACTTGGGCCACACCTCCAGCCCAGCTTATTTCAGTCTCTTCTGAGAATGCAGGGAAATCCTTGACTTAGCATACACTCTGTACAAGCTGGGACGGACGCAAATACTGCTTTTATTCTTACAGGAGACATCAGTGGCCCACACGTGGTGTGTGGACCGCACTCACATCCAGGGCGGGAGAGTGAGAGTCACTGTATCCATGACAGCCTCAGCTGCGCTGCGGGTCTTAGGACCACCACGCTCACCCAGCAAGGCACAGACATCCACGGGAATCTGGCACAGCTACGACAGCACTGGGAGTCAGAGCTCCATGTGTTCAGTTCCTACTGCAATTCCTCAGCTGCATGAGTGCATTGCTGTAGTGACTTTCATTTAAGAGAGTCGCTTGAAATTCTAGGTGAGAAACCCTTAGACACATACCAGAAGTAAGCAAAACTCACCTCAGTCTTTCCCTTCCTCTATCTTTTGCTAAAGCACTTTGACTAGGAAAAATGATCTCAGGTAAAGAAAGAGTGGTGAGTAAGCCCATGTGTTTTTTTTTCTCTTAGTGTGTTCGGCCAGCCAAATAACCTTGACTACAGTGCTAATGCCGGTCTAAGAACAGAAGCATAAAACAGTGTGCATTGTGAGCCCAGCCCCTGATTTGCTTTAAAACACTTTTAAGCCATGATTCTGGAGAGCATTTTAAAATGTACAATATGTTATCAGTTCGTGATTACCCAGGCGTGTGTCCACTGCCGAACACCAAGTCTAGTCCTGGATGACTTAGGACCATCATCTGAGCTTCATGTCAAAGAAGCAGCAAGAAGTCATAAAGCCAGTTAGCCCAGGGAGGACGGCCAGGGTGAGAACACGGTGAGACTGAAGCCCTCACGCACGGGCAGAACAACCACAAAGCTTCCGAACATGTCCATCCATCCAGGACCCATCCCTGAAATCTGACTTAAAATCTACTTATTTAATGAGCAAATCTGGGGTTTTGAGGCAAGTGATCCCATTATGTGCACACACACACAAAATCCAGCTGTATCAAAGTGACTTTTAGAAGGGAACATCCCAGTTTACTTTTGAAGTGAATTTAAACTAATTATCATTATGGAAACCATAAAAACATAGAAGGAAAAAACCAAGCCTTCTTGGCGAATAACAACCATAAGACAAAACCGTGAAGACTGAAGATTTCAGTCTTCAAAAGTATTTGGGTTAATTCTGTGGGAACCTGACTCTGAGCTGAGGGACGGTAATGAAGTCTGTGTGCATGTGATAAGTATATATGATAATTTAATGAATATACGGAGTGCTTCAGGCCTATCCACAATGTTTAGCAATGGTACTATTTTGTACAAGTCAACCTAATTTTTTCAGCAGTTACTTTCCATTTAAAAGACCTGCTGGCTTTCTTTGCTGCAGACCTGGGCATATGAAATGGAAGAATTGGTAAAAACAAAAGTAACTCCTGAAGATGCACCGAGGAGCAGGGAGCACCCACATCTGTTCAGAACCCACAGTTATGAAACATCTTGTAAGCTAAGTGGCCTGAAGGGGATCCAAAGTGCCTGCCCATGTCCCCATTAAAATGTACTCACAGAGACGTTAAAATCTTTTTATTGCTAGGTTCCATGAAAAGCTCACATCCATAAAATGCGGCCTTCGGCTTGGGGGTGAAAACAGAAGCAGAAAGGATACGGGGGACAGCGAAGACCTGGGCAAACACGTGAAAGGAAGACCCCCAAGCCATCTGCCAAGGGGCCACATAGGCCAGGACGAATTGTAGCTTGTGGAGCAGGTCCCCGAGCTGAAAGCAAAAGAGAGAGATTCATCAGAGGACGCAACACCTCTGGCTCTGTGTCAGGGTCATCTAAGGACACGCGGCACAGCCAGGAAGGGGCAGTGCAAGGACTGCTTGCCTTCCTGCCCTCCCTTCCTTTGTCCTGTAGGCAAGGCAGCTACAAAACAGCTCACATGGTCATCTCAGCACATTCAGTAATTCAACCCGCGGATATGGTGTCTCTGCCCTTCTCGGGGGATAACCACAATATGGCCTGCTCTCCCCCAAAAAGGAGCTCTGAGAGGGAGAGTCCTGCAGAAACCTGTGTTCCTCACATTGTTGAGGGGTTTGTGCATGAATTTTATCACACCTGTTCAGCTGTTCTTGCTGGGGAAACAGCTCTACACTTTTGAAGAAGTTACAAAGGACTTTGAGAGCCGGGGCTGGCCAGGGAAGTCACCACACTGGCTAGACAAGCCAGCACGAGGAAGGCCGAGGTCTGGGGACAGCTGGAGATGGGAGGGAGAGCCTTGTGTGGGCCGAGGGTGTACATGCTCCAAGGTGTGGCTGGGGACCAAGCTATGAATGTGCATAGACAGATGGGGAAGGCAGCCTGGCTGGTGGCGGACCTCTGCTTTGTGGGAAATGACGGGCAAATCCCAGATGTAAATAAAACTCTGTTGCTGCCACTTCCAGACCAGGCAGTCAGTGAATACCCAGTGTTCCACCCCCGCCCCCCCCCACACCCTAATATACACTCTTTATCCACAGTGGAACTTCAGATGGCACAGGGGTTGCCATCTGGCTCGTGCTCGAGACAATTAAATACATTCTCCACCAAAGCCATGGGAACAAAGAGAAGAGAAAAAAGTAGTTTTAAATTAAGCTCCAGAGCTATTACGCAGAGCATAAGCAAGTCATTGTGAGGAGAGAGCATGGGCCAGGAGACAAGGCCACTGAGGACAACGGAGCTTAGAGAACCAAGGTCACTCAGCATTCAACTGTAGAGCCAACAATGGGACAGCTCTGATTTGCTCCGTGAAAATGATGGGTTGGTTGGAGTCATCTCCAAGTCGTCCCTCACTTTTCTGGCGATTCCCACAATCATTTGGATCTGGGAAGAAACTTTAAAGCAAAATCAAACATTTGGGCCAACAGCTGAGGCAAATCCAGGAAGAAAGGTCTCCAAAGAACTGTAGACACAAAATCCTTCAGATGTCACGGCGTCCGCTATCTCACAGGACCCCTGAACCTAAGCGTGTTCACTGGGACTCGAGTCACAAACTAGCAAAGAAGGATTATGGGTAGAGAGAGGAGGAGGGAAGAGAGAGGGAGAGGCAAGAAAGACACAGGGAACACCGAGAGGATGAAAGAAGGATTTTTAAGAGAAAAGTGGAGAAGAAGGAAAGCTGAGGTGACTGGGGCCTGTCAAGGAACATGGGCTCTGGGGGAGGGAAGCAGGTGCCTGTGTGGGTAACTCTTCACCTTTACTCCTGCTCACCGTGTCAGCCGTGGAGGGCTGATCTCATCTCACAAGTTCTCCAGAGACGCCACCTTTGTGCTCATCCTGGGGCTGTTTGAAGCCTCCTGGGTCCTTCTGGATGGGATACCACAGTCCCTGTGCCTTTGCAAGTCTGACAGCAGGGAGAATGGCCTTCTGCTACAGCAGCTGGGGGCCCATATCTTGAGGTCTTGTGAAGCACAGCCTCCACCCCACTCTGAATCAGTCGGTACATGAGCACCAAGAGCCTGGAAATCTAAAGGATTTCCTTTAAGTGCCAGCACCTTCCTCACTCCCATCCCAGCCAGGGGAGGAGCGTGTAATCACGGCAGGAACACGTGACTCTGGGCTAGGACACAAGCAAAGTTCTTCACAGGTCATGGTGTTCCCCTGGCTCGTTTCCACCCAACCCACCTCCATCACACACAACGCCAATGCATTAAAAACCCTCTTAGCATCCACTGTTAAGAATTCTTGGTTTTGGATGCTCTTGTTTGACACATGGGTTTTTATTAGTATGATATTTAATTTTGAAATACTTGGGAATTTTCTAGACACCTTTCTGGTTTTGGCCCTAGTGTCATTCCGTTATGGTCCAAGAATATATTTTGTATGACTTCTGTTACATCTATTGAGATTTCTTTTTTTTTTTTTTTGATTTAGTGTATGATTTTATCTCAGTGTATGGTCTATATACAACTTTAAAAAATAAAGTTAGATGCTTGTGGTTTAACACTGCAAGCGGGAACAAGAGAGGGTTACAGGATGCACATCCCAGTGTCCCAAGATTGGACATGGGTTGTGGGAAGTTCCTTGCTGGGTCTTCAGTGCATTGCTGTGTCCTGGGAGGCCTCGAAGCTGCCTTCTGATGGAGCTGTAAGTAGGTCAGGCACAGCGCTGCAATCAGACAGGAGGCTCCGGGGAGGGCCTCGCCTGCACACACCGGCTCTGGCAGGGATGGCTTTGCTGCGCTGTGATTAAATGAATCTATTGCAATTATTTTTTGCTTAGCACAGCAACTCATGTCTATGCATAAGCAAACCCAGCAATCAGACACCTGAGGGTTCTAAATCCCAGCACTTTCTTGTAGCTTCGTAACAGATGTTCAACATGAGGCTTAAGAAAGTAGCCTCTGCTAGACTGGCTGTGGTAGCATGTGCCCATAATCCCAGCTACTTGGAAGGTGGAGGTAGGAGAAGAGTCATCCAGGCTGATCCTGGAAAAGTATGAGACCCTATCTGGGAAGTCAACTAAAGCAAAAAGGGCTGGGGGTGTGGATCACATGGTAGAACACCTGCCCAAGAAGTACCAGGCTCTGAGTTCAAGTACCACCAAATACATAAATAAAAAGAAAGTAGCCTCTGTTTTTCTGTCTTTGAAGAAGCCAGTGCTCCTGACTCTCATCTTTTTGTATCCCTATGATTCCTGCCCTGCTTCTTCACAAATCCTTAGAAAGAGGGTGCATATGGAGAGCTTGGTGTCCACATGGCACAGGATTTCAGAGCACAGGCTGGAGGGCATCCAACCGGGCTCACTGGAACCCAGCTCCACCTCGCCCCATTTTCTGCATCTATAAAACTGGGATGGTGACAGTTCCTTCTCCCAGTGTCAACATAACTTTGAATGGCTTCATCTTCGCTGAGGACTTAGGACAGTTCCCAGGAAGCAGAAGCACATACAACCTTTTATAACAAAATGTGGGGCCAACCATATGTCTTACTCTGAGGATATACTTGGCTCATAGACCAGCTATTTTATAGTCTTTTCTTCCCTGAAATGTACCAAGTCCAGGCCCTCTCACTTTTCAGAGATTATGGCCAGGCTCAGAGTGGTTAAGAAGCTGTGCAGGTCACATAGAAAGCTATTAGTTCACCCAAAACCAGAGGGTGAGATCCTGATTCTCTATCCAGTGACCTTTCTATCACCAGATGTTACCAGGTCTCTCTGAGGCCACAGGCCTTCTGTGAGAACCTCTGCTGTGTGGCTCACCTCCTGCCACAAGGAGGCCAAGGAAAGGTCTCCCTTGTCTAAGCCTCCTGTCCCAGCAGGGTAGGACCACAAACAGGCTCTTACTGAGCCCATGCAGTGATGAAGGACCCTGTATGCCCAGAATGGCATTTTTACTGAAATAAAAAGTAAAAGTACTCAGTGAATCATTCACTGCACCAACAAGCCTGGTGATCCCCAGGGGAAGGGCGGTCCACTGCACTTTCTGAAGGCACAGCTCCACAAAGCTTATATGGCTCCCAGGTTTTTTCCTTAAAGGGTACAAAGGCAGGACGCAGGTTAAAAAGAGTCAATCAACTTCATACTTTTTTACACTTTGTCTTTCTCTCAAGAGTGAAATCCAATAAGAGACTGAAATACTTGTAAGAATCAAAAGAGTGAATTCTAAGCACAAAAGAAAACCCAAACATTGATCATCCATCCTAGACCATGGCGTACTCAACACCGGGACATTTACGACACCACGGGGCTGCACTGGAAAAAGTCAGAAACCCCATTTAGGTTGACTGAGAGTGTACACCTCCTTACAGCTCACGGCCTCTTTTTATGAAGACTTCTCGCTCCCAATGTTTTGCTTCTCAGATCTACTAAAGTGCACAATAAACTTCCCAAGTGACTGGAATACGCCTCTAAGAAAAAACCCAGATCGCTTGGGATCAAAAGAAAGGGAATCAAAATACAATAATGTTGGCTGTTTCCTAGAGACAACAAATGTTGTCACTTTGGAAATGTCTTTCCATCTTGGCATACACATGCTATTATGTCCTGCTATAGATAGCAAAAGCAATCTGTATACATCCACAAACCAAAGAAAGATGATGCCCAAACACACCCTTGCTAATGCACTCTGTGGCAGGGCACACAGCATCTTTACTCTGGGGACTCCCCCCAGCCCACCCCCACCGACACAGCTGCCCAAGGACGAGACTTCGGTGTCTGGGCTCTATCTTAAGTGGACCCATTTGATTAAAGCATGGTTTTCCCACCCGAACCCAGATACCACCTTCCCTCTCCTTCCCTCCAGCCAGACTCACCTCCCAGGTTGCTTCCATCCTCACCAGCCTTGTCAGATTCAGTAGTGCTTTCTCAGAAAGATACACGCCTCAGTTAACATCACACCAAACCACAGCCACCAATATTTGAACTTGAAGGGGCAAACAAGGCTGGAACGAGTGGCAGAAACTGGCTACTGAGTTGAGGAAGACTCAACTTCTTGACTCGAGAAGAGTGAAGAAGCTGAGGTTTGAACTCTGGGAAAGGAATTAGACACGACGAGTCTATTGAGCAAAAAAGGCCAACAACAAAGGACCCGGGAGCACTACCAGTCAATTTGAGGCACAGGTGTGGGGGCAGAAAGATGCTCAAGAATGCTGGGAAAAAGTAGAGCTAATAACATCTCAAACGTGGGTCCCCACTTTTGGGGAGGGGGAAGGACCACCTTTGTAAAATAACAAATGGAAAACAGAAAATAGGAAAGCTAAATTTGGAGTTAATTAGATTTAAAGCAAAGCTATTCTCA